TTATTTCTCTTTTTTTGTTTTTCTCGGTGTTACATAAACTCAGCAACCGTGCATATATCTTTCCCTAATAATAAAGCACGGATTGACTCCGTGGGTTCACCGTCACAATACGCTTCTTCCCGTGAATTTACGCTTTCTATTTTTTTTTCTTCAACACGTTATACTTATTTTCTATATCCAAGGTGGTACTAATATTTTCCTAATAATAAAGCGGATATTGCTTCCGCGTGAACATTGGACAGAAAAATCGTTCAACCGCATATGTCCGCAAGTCCAGCCTGATCTGGCCCACCCAGCCCGTTGCTTCCAGCCCACCACCTATCTGTTCGTCCATAGCATGAGTTCATGTCTGACTCCATCGAAGAACGAAGCTTGTATTACAACTCGGAAACTGATCGAAACGCCATAAATAAGTTAACCGCCCCGATTTCCTCCCTCACGTCGCACCATGATAATAAGATCGAATCAAAAGAAATCTGGGCGAAACCTCCACGGCGCCGGTCCATCCTCGACGCACCTGACCCAAGTCTCGCCGCCTGCGAGCTTCAGGAGGCCCACGCAGACTGACTGCTACTGCTGGGCGTCGTCTGCCACGGCGCTGACGAGGGATGCATCCTCGAGGCGATCAACCCGAGGCTTGCCGTCGCCGAGTTCCAGAAAGGCAACACTCCTGCTGCCAAGCCTAGCGATCGTGTTCCACGACGCCGAGGGGGGATGCATCAGCAAGGCCGTCAATCCGAGGCTCGCCGCCGCCAAGTTCCAGAAGGGCAACCCTTCTGCAGCAGCGTGCAGCCATCTGAATGCTGAACCCAGGTTAGTGGCCGAGGGCGAAGACCATCGTGCATATCCGGATGTGCCTGCATTCTGGACGGCGCAGCCAGGGAACGGCAGTACGGACACACTGGCCAAGTATTGCATCCTGATGTACTTACTTACAATGTTGCATTATCTGCCCATCTGAAGTAGGGTGACCAGAAGAGTGCAAAGTATGATACTAAGCTATGGACCGGCGAGCAATTCAAAGAAGCTAATGTTAGTTTGGATGAGATGATGCAAAAGGGATTGTTCAACGTATATAACTTTGACGGAGGGGCTCATGAAGACACAGAAAAGGCATACACACTCCATGCTGGACTGCGGGAGGAAAGGGAGGGGAGCTACAGGCATATAGCTTCTATGTTAAACTTAAAACAGTGGAGGCAAGGCATATAGCTTCTATGTTAAACTTAAAGTGATGACAGAGTGGGACACAGAGTGGAACGCTGACACGAAGAAGCAGACCGTCATGGCCGGCTGGTATCGTGGAAACCATGGCCTACGGATCTGGTTTCCCTGCCCGTCCGCGTCTGCCAGAAGGTGTAGTTAGCCTTCCCAAAACAGAGAGAAGATTGTTAGTGTTTAATCATCAGTTGCCGATCCCAAAACAGGGAGAAGATTCGGGCTGGACTGAATGAACAACTCTAGGTTGGCAGATCTGCATGATGCAGAGACTATTCCCAGCAAGTGGATAACACACTGGCTTCCGCACAGTGACAAGCTGGCAGCAGCGCATAACTTGTTGCACGCCGCAATTCACAGCCTCGGCTGGCGTCCGACAGCAACCTGAGGCGCCAAGCTAGCTAGGCACCCGGTTTCCGCCCACGAGGCCACGACTAGTCCACAAACCACGCGCGCGCTCGTACGTACGTACGAGGCAGCTTGCTAGCGACGGCCGGTTACCCATGCCAACATCGGCATCTCCCTGGTGATCTCCTATGAAACTACCGTGAGGTGCACCACCATTTGGCAAGCAGCCGAGCAAACTTACACACACAGCAACGAACGAAACACTCACTCGAGCTCGGCTATACCTGGAATCGTGCAATTAGTCAGATGGCGAGCGGCAACGGGAAGGTTACGTTCTCGTCCTGGGCGGCGGCGATGAGCGTGGGTGTGGGCACGGTGGAGGCGCTCAAGGAGCGGCACGCACTCCCGTGCGTCCAACAGCGCTTCGGTAGTAATGCGGCCGCCGGGAACGGCGCCTGCACCAAGGGCAAGGTGCCGCTCGCTGCCGGTGGGGCGGCGGCGAGGAGGAAGGCGAGGCAGGAGCAGGAGGAGGAGCTCCGGACTATGATGTACCTCAGCAACTGGGGACCCAACAACTAACTAGCTAGCTGACTAGTCATCAGTACAGTCCTCTAGATCTTAGAAGATGGCCAGATTGGTTTGCGCTAGCCGCGCACCAGTTGGTGTGGCTGGATGATGTGAGCTCAGCTCAGTCTGCACGCTCACTCTCGAGCTCGTGTAAGACACGGTACTTCACGACAGCGGCGTTTTGGCATATGGGAGCGCGCACTCCTGTTTTTAAAATGTGTGTTAAGCATATTTTGAAATGTCAAAAAATTCCAAACAAAAACTTGACGTGTACATCTGAATATTATACATGCTCACAAAGTCGTTTCGCGAAAAACAAACAAATTATGTGTCGCGTTTGAAAAAGACAAAAATCCAGTGTTAAAAAATGCATTTCACAAGACATCCTTTAGCCTTTCTTACACAAGCCATAAAAAATGTCGGTTTTGTCCGAAATTTGACGTGCACACATAAAATGTCGAGATGTATGTGTCAAATTTTTGTTTGAAATTTTTTCACACTTTGAAATATTTTTTTCCGCATGCAGGAGCGCGCGCTCCTGGGAGCACCAACGAATTTCCGGTGCTTCACATACTTTCATGATCCGGAAGGATTTCAGAAACAGAGATTGGCATCGCTTCCAGCCTCCTCTTGTCTAAACTAACTGCAATCTGCAGCAGGTAAGAAAACAATGGTAGTGCTACAATTTGTCATCGTTACTCATGAAGCAGGCGGTCATATGACGAAGTAGTGGCGGAGCTTGAGCATAATCCAAGAGGGGGCCGGCCATTAGCTAAAGGGAGGCAAATTGATAAGCATGGAGGGGCTAATCTCTAGTTTAAACACCAGTTGGGCCTAAAATAGAACATATTCTTCAATAGTTGTAAAAGTTAAGGGGGGGGGGGCATTGCCTCCGTTGGTCTACATGAAGCTCCGCCACTGTGACGAAGGCAAAAAGAATCCATTCTGCTGTCAGAAAATCGGCACATCCCAACAGTTGCTGCGTGAACCAATTAATCGAGCCTGAATTACTTGCGAAGAGAACATCCTGATGCAGGGGTGCAGGGCGGCGTCCCGCCAAGGCCCGCCAATGTGCTAAGCTAGCACAAATTGTATTGGCGTATTGGAGTCAAAGCTCTAGATAAAAATTTCCATTTTGTATATCAAGCGGGCCGGGTTCGGGCGCCGCTCTGCACCCCTATCCTGATGTACGAGGTACTTGCTCAGCTGCTCCCATATAAAACACATACCACTTTTATTAGGAAGAATAACAGAAAACAGTCCCGGAAGAACAAACGGTATAGACCCCCACCATGAAGAACAATATGGTGGTGAAGTGTCACACGCTTCCAACTTGATGATCATCCTGCCTCTCAAGGATGCCCGCATGAGTGAGTAAAGCCCACAGGTGCGTGATGAACTCCCCACCATTCGCGAGCTCCTTGATGTGCTCCTTAACATTATCTCATGGCGCAAGGTAGAGCAACATCTCTGCCCAGAAATCAGCCAACACCTTCCAACGCTGTGTCACATGTTGAATGTCCTCGAGCTGCTTCCCCCAGCTTGGCGCCACCCTCGAAGATGGTCTCCTCTGATTGTCCCTCAATTTTTTCAGGAATTTGTTTGCTTCCAGTGCAACCACATCAAACACACACAGTGTATCGTATGGGCGCCCAGGAAGAAGCTTTCGTGCAGAGACCAGCAAGTATGCATAGTATTTCGATAGTTTTGTGGCAACATCAAGATGTGGCCTGAGTTTTTTTTCCTCATCTGAGGAAAGATTTTTCATTCTTGTCATCTCACAGTAAAATGTTCATGGGTCTTCAAATATTGCTTTGTAGTTCACAAACAAATTTCATATATTCAAGTTTTTTTTCGCTAGTGAAAAAAAAGATATATCCCTTAAAGTTGATGTAGTGAATATGCCACGAGGATTGAACAAGTGATGAACATTCATCGGACATCTTTTAAGAGAGAAAATGGTACGAATATTATCTAATAACTACTTGATTTATATCAAATAAAAGATCACTAGCACAAATAGATAAGAATTTTTGAGACAGCTTCTAAATAGGCACCCATAGTTTATAAGAACTTCAGCGTGCCTTCAAACCTTCATGAGAGCATGGCAGAGATTTAGACATGCACATAATACATCAAAAAGATTATAATAAATATGCCAGCCTTTTGTTAGATATTCGACATAATTTGAAAGTAATAAGAAAAAATATTAGAAATTCTGTTGGTCTTATTTCCTTAATTAATACTCCCTCCGTTCGGAATTACTTGTCGCAGAAATGGATGTATCTAGATGTATTTTAGTTGTAGATACATCCATATCCGAGACAAGTAATTCCGAACGGAGGGAGTACTTTATAGAAAAATACAGTCTTACACATAATTTTGAACTGCCAAAACATCTTATATTTAAAAACAGAGTGTATACTAGTTTTACTGAGTAAAGCTTGACACCTTCGTCGTCCATCACTCGTATCTCAACTCTGCCGCCTTGGTCCGATCCCAGTGGACAAAACCAGCCGCTCGGCCGCAAGAAAACTAGACAAGGCGAGATAGGCCGCCACCTCCACCGGGATATCGACAGCGAGAGGTGCGGCGCAACTAAGCAAAGGTGTCTTCAAAGGCACCCGGTATCCTGGAAAACCAGCACCGGCGGCCGGCTGTTTTGCTCCGGCTCTCCCGTATATAAACCCAGGCTACTCCCACTCCTCCTCCCATCAACACAAACAGGCATCAGTTCAGGCAGTCCACAAAAAACGAACAAGCATCAGCACACTTTCTTCACTACCGCAAGTTCAGTAGCTCTACAGACACAGAGATCACAATTCAGTATCTTCTCTCCAGCAACTTGGGAACAAGAAGGGGAGGAGATGGCTGGTCCAGCGAAGGCTTCGTGGATGGTGGCGATGGGTGTGGGCGCCGTGGAGGCGCTCAAGGACCAGGCCGGGCTCTGCCGCTGGAACTATGCCCTCAGGTCCATCCATCGGACAGCCAAGGCAAAGGCCAACGTCCGCGGCGGCGGCGGCGTCTCGCAAGGCAAGAAGCAGCTTCCGACCTCTGCGGCGGCAGTGACGGAGAGGCGGCGAGCAGACAAGGCCGAGGAGGGGCTGAGGACGGTCATGTACCTCAGCTGCTGGGGCCCAAACTAGGAGTACTATAGTAGCTAGAGGTGTTGTGTTCGTCGGAGCAAAGTATGCAGCCATGGCCTGAGACCTGGCTGATTGCCCTTTCCCCACCGTTGTAAGATACCACGGTGATGATGATGGTGATGATGATGAAAGTTTCGGCCTCAATTTACGACTGTATATCACCCTACCTTGCCATACCTTGCCATTGTGCTTTTGTGACTAGTTTCCTAAAGGCCGAAGGCCAATCCTTATCAAAAGAGGCAGAAAAATGTTGAGAGTTGCACAGGGAGAGCAACTCCGCAAAGCTGAGAAGCAAGCCGAAAACAGAGCAGGTTCGGCTACCTATATGTAGCAGTCCAACTCTGCAGAAAGGATGGAACAGGGGAAAACAACAAGGGAGTTGAATCTCAAAGAACTCGCATAGCATGCCGAAAACAGAGCAGGTTCAGCTACCCGTACACAGCAGCCCAACTCTGCGCTCCAAGATCTCGCATCTTCTCTTGATCAATTCGAACATCTCCAGTCGCTCTGCAAGCGGTGTCCGTTAGAGTCTTAGAGATTCCAGCGTTGCGTTCCTTCCAACCAAATTCTTCTTCTCTGATTATATATTTTGATGAAGTCTGACCTGCTAGATGTGCTTTCTGTCGCTCCGGCTGTGCATGCGAGGCGAACCTGTTGTTCTGAATTTATTTTCTCGGCAATCTGCTCAACGGACAAAATAACATGTTAAACTAAAAGAATGATCAGAGTGATCTTTTTAATAAGACAACATTAATAAGTTCAGTAAACGTGTTTACTGGTAATCAGAGTGATGACCGAGTGAGACACAACACGGTCCACTTTCCAGTTGCAGTGGCCGGCTGGTATCGTTGAAACCATGGCCACCGGCCTCCGGTTTTTCCCTGCCCGTCCGCGTCTCCCCAAGAGCAGAGCATGTGGCCAAAAATCCTACAGTACTTAACCTACGTGTTGCAGAAAGGAGGATTGTTATTAGTCTAATAATCACTTGCATATCCTAAGAGGGGGGAGACGATTACCGCACGCTGCGTGCCTCGAATAGTCGAATAAACTCTACCTTGGCAGATTTGCGTGATTGAGCGATCTTTGTCTTCCCGTGTGCTAAAAGCAAGACAATTCATGGGCCACCACCAAGCCTGATCTGATCATCTGATGTATCACCTCCGTTCGGAATTACTTATCGCAGAAATAGATGTATCTAGACATATTTTAGTTCTAGATACATCCATTTTCGAGACAAGTAATTTCGAACGAAAAGAGTACTAGTAGCACAGTGTCAGCAGCACACAACTTGTGGCAAAAGCGGGGCGCCGCATCGCCCGACCTCGGCGTCCGACAACAACCTGAAGCGCCAAGGCCGCCGGCACTGCACACGGTTTCCGCCCACGAGTCCACAAACCATGCGCGCACCCTTACGTAGAGGCAGCGACGGCCGGGACGTACTACGGCTCACACGCCGACAGCGGCATCCCCTATAAAACTACCGTGAGGAACACCGCCATTTCGCAGGCAGGTGAGCAACACACAGCAACAGCAACGAACGAAGCACTCAGTCGAGCACCTCGATATCTTTTTTTCCTTTTCGAAAAGAAGGTTATCCCCAGCCTCTGCATCAGAAGCACCTCGATATCTGCAGTCCTACAGTTTGTCAGATGGCGAGCGGCGGCGGCAAGGCGACGGCCTCGTCCTGGGCGGCGGCGATGAGCATGGGCGCGGGCACGGTGGAGGCGCTCAAGGAGCGGCACGCCGGGCTATGCCGCTGGAACTACCACGCGCTCCGGTGCGTCCAGCAGCGCGCTGGCACCGCGGCCGCCGGGAACGGCAAGACCATGGCGGCGCCCGCTGCTGGCGGGGCGGCGGCCAGGAGAAGGAACCGAGGAAGGCGAGGCAGGAGCAGGAGGAGGAGCTCCGGACTGTCATGTACATCAGCAACTGGGGACCAAATAACTAGCAAGCAGATTAGTCATCAGTCCTCTGTTCTTCATCTTCTTAGATGGCCAGAATGGTGCACCGTGCACAAGCTGCACCAGTTCGTCTGGCTGGATCTGAATGTGTGGGAACACACCACGCGCATTCTCGAGCTTGTGTAAGACACGCCCACAGAATCGATCACATCAAATACGAGCACGCGCACACAAGAAAACTGATAACCAAAGGGCCCTTGTCGTGCCCTTGTTTCTCCTCTTTATTTCTCTTTTTTTGTTTTTCTCGGTGTTACATAAACTCAGCAACCGTGCATATATCTTTCCCTAATAATAAAGCACGGATTGACTCCGTGGGTTCACCGTCACAATACGCTTCTTCCCATGAATTTACGCTTTCTATTTTTTTTTCTTCAACACGTTATACTTATTTTCTATATCCAAGGTGGTACTAATATTTTCCTAATAATAAAGCGGATATTGCTTCCGCGTGAACATTGGACAGAAAAATCGTTCAACCGCATATGTCCGCAAGTCCAGCCTGATCTGGCCCACCCAGCCCGTTGCTTCCAGCCCACCACCTATCTGTTCGTCCATAGCATGAGTTCATGTCTGACTCCATCGAAGAACGAAGCTTGTATTACAACTCGGAAACTGATCGAAACGCCATAAATAAGTTAACCGCCCCGATTTCCTCCCTCACGTCGCACCATGATAATAAGATCGAATCAAAAGAAATCTGGGCGAAACCTCCACGGCGCCGGTCCATCCTCGACGCACCTGACCCAAGTCTCGCCGCCTGCGAGCTTCAGGAGGCCCACGCAGACTGACTGCTACTGCTGGGCGTCGTCTGCCACGGCGCTGACGAGGGATGCATCCTCGAGGCGATCAACCCGAGGCTTGCCGTCGCCGAGTTCCAGAAAGGCAACACTCCTGCTGCCAAGCCTAGCGATCGTGTTCCACGACGCCGAGGGGGGATGCATCAGCAAGGCCGTCAATCCGAGGCTCGCCGCCGCCAAGTTCCAGAAGGGCAACCCTTCTGCAGCAGCGTGCAGCCATCTGAATGCTGAACCCAGGTTAGTGGCCGAGGGCGAAGACCATCGTGCATATCCGGATGTGCCTGCATTCTGGACGGCGCAGCCAGGGAACGGCAGTACGGACACACTGGCCAAGTATTGCATCCTGATGTACTTACTTACAATGTTGCATTATCTGCCCATCTGAAGTAGGGTGACCAGAAGAGTGCAAAGTATGATACTAAGCTATGGACCGGCGAGCAATTCAAAGAAGCTAATGTTAGTTTGGATGAGATGATGCAGAAGGGATTGTTCAACGTATATAACTTTGACGGAGGGGCTCATGAAGACACAGAAAAGGCATACACACTCCATGCTGGACTGCGGGAGGAAAGGGAGGGGAGCTACAGGCATATAGCTTCTATGTTAAACTTAAAACAGTGGAGGCAAGGCATAGAGATGTGCTTTGTATTGTAGCGGCACACGTTCATGTGGCCGACCCTGCTAGGGAATAACGGACACACCATGCTCGATGAATTCGACCCTGCTAGAGCTCTACTGCTCTGTCTGGCCAATAGCAAAGGTACCGTTTACCTTCTCTCCTTAGGTTCAATCATTCCAGGCTTCTATCTCTTCTCAATATTTTTTGCTGTAAGACAATATGTTCGTGGAATTATTATTGCCACGGGTTCAGTCCTAAGGCATGGATTATCTATCTGAACATATGGCTTCAATCAGGAATCAATTGCTAATAATGTAAACAGGGAAATATTGTCAGTTCAAATAACTAATGACCATGCGCATTGCACCGACAATCGGTGTCTTTTTTGCGAGGGGATTATTATTGCCACGGCTTCCATTCCAAGACAAAGTAGAACCGACAATACATGTTGATCAGTTGATCAATTGGTGCTGTTACCTGACCTTTCTTTATAATTGCATCAGTTTACCATCGATTTTCGTTCATCTTATTAAAACTGCTATATATTTGTTGTTCAGTTGAGATTTTATGCAGATTTCTTTATAAGGTATGCTTTGTAAGAGTTTCTTATTTTGTATAGGTTGTGGATCAGAAATTAATTAATCTATTAATTTCCACATTCATTTAGTGAAATACATTAATTAATAATTTACTCGTACAAGAAAAATAATTTTTAATGTGGTCTTCATGCCTCGACGTTCCCATGTGTCTATTTTTTAACATGACGAAGGGACACAAGAAAGAAGAAACGACAACACATATGTGTCATTAGGAGTGTGCGAGAATTTGTTTCCCCCGTTGCAACGCACGGTCATCTTTGCTAGTATATATATATATATATATATGCACCAACCTGGACGCTGGACAGGCTAGACTAGCCGACTCAAAAGACCAATCCTAAACCTACTCGTATATGCTTTTTGACTCCAAAGCTTATACGGACACAAGCAAACTTGCCGCTTCTAATAACTACCAAGAAAACTATCCAAACACTCAACTTGCCTAAACTAATACGGCAAGATCCCTGACTTAACCTCTAATCGGACACATGCAAAGTACTCACGTGTTGGCATGCAAGCCAACCACGGCATGTACACCATGCATGAAGCCTACTCATAACTAGCATATGTTTGAATTATTATAACATTCACCCCTTAATCCAAACATTCAATTTTTTACTCGATGAGACACGCAGACGACAACCTGTTCATATTGTCATGTTGGTTGCCTCCGGTGACGCGACATATGGACAACAATTTCTTTCTTTTTGTAATGATGGCCATTACTTCATCATGCAGTAGTACATAGATCTATCCGGGAGGATTTCAGTACATACGGTCGCTCTGAATTTACAGATGCCTTCATATGGTTCATACTTTTTTCTTTCTTTTGGAAATGTTCGTAGGGTTCATCCATGCTATAGAAAACGGTCGTCCGAATTTTGCAAACCTGATCACCGGACGGGAAAAAAGTACTCACTCTAATCCATATTAATTGTCGCTGATACTCAATTGGCAACAATTGATATGAATTGAAGAGAGTACAGGTGGATGGAGTACTGGTTAAGCTGAAGAGAAGACGAAA